CAAGCGTTCGCTGGAGCTTCAGCCATCTCACGTTGATGCGCGCATCAATTATTCCACCATGCAGCAGCGACTGGGTTTATTCAATGAAGCCTTCGAAACGTTGCGAGATTACGTACTCGATGCTGGAAGCACATTGCCGGTAAGGTGGCTTACTTGTTTTGCCGGGCAGTTTCTCACTGAGCCTACTGTCTCTTCCTCTGAGCTGTAGACCGTAGCAGCGATTGATTCATACTCATGATTCTTCGTGTACTCATTTGCTACTTCTTGATGAATCTGATAGTTACAGTTTATGTACTTCTTTGTTCCCAGATGAAAATTTGTGCCCTTTTTGTCAAAATGAAGTTTGGCTCTCCACTTCTGTCGTTTTGCAAATTCCGGCGACCGCGGTTTTTTTTTTTTTTTTTTTTTTTGCGGAATTCAGTACGGTAATCATTTGCTATATTTAAACTGGGGCGTTAGGCAAACACATATAACATATGTAAAGTGCAACACATATTTGGTTATTTCCACGCCATAACCCTTGCACGATTTTTTTATGAAACCGTAAGACGGATGTGCTTCTAACAGTAGCCCGTGTTGCCCTTTCCTTTACGCTCGTTGCTGGCGTTCAGTCCTTCGAATACCCGTGGTTTTGCGATGAATGCGTTATCAGAACGGATTATCAGTTACGCTTTCAGGAGCACATGGCAAAAGTTCATCTCTTCGAGCGTTTCTCAGTGATACTTGAATTCGATTACTCAGTCTGTGACACAGTGTTGTGTTTTAATTAATTTCGTGTTGTTTTAGGATGAACGGTTGCTGGTGCGACAGGCGGACTTCTTGCTCGAACACAGACGGATGGAGGAATTTGCGCGCTGTGTTCGAATGATGCTTGCTCCGCATTTTTATAAAATTTATGCGAATAACATGGCTTTACTTAAGAAAAGACCTTCAGCTAATGAACGAGGAAGTATGGTTTTTTTGAATGGCTTTTGACCGAGTAGGTTGATGCTGCATTGAGCATCAAATTGGATTAGCTAGAATCTATCTCTCGGAAGCAGGACTGTAACGATCGGAGGGCCTGTGCAGGGTGCGGCTGTGGGGGCACACAAACCAAACTGGTAATCAGTGCTTTATTTAAAACAACCAATAAAAATTCATGCAAACAAAAAAACCACGAAATAACCCGGCAGCAGCTCAAAACTGCCGCTGCGCAATTTTTTAGTGCCACAAAACAGTTTCAAGTTCATTTCTAAAAACGACGTTAAATATCACAGAAAGAGACGGAACATTTGCGTAAAACAGGGGACTGAAGGGCAACCGGGCAAGGGGGCTTAGCCACAATCTTCGTTTCCTTGCTGCTAACGCCTTCTTTTTGCAACAGTACACGAGTACATCTTTTCTATTAGGATTGTGTAACAGCTGTAACATCTTGCATGAGCAATTTAGCAATATGTCACGGCATTCGTTCGCAAGCGTTTAACACGGTTCGTGGATCGCCATTTGAGAAGTATGTTAAGCGTGTCGGGCAGATTGCGGTGGCGGAAGACCGATTACCCAGTGAACTCACCGGCGTCCAGGTAAATGTGCTGCAACTTTCTTGACTGTGAGAGCGTTTCAAAGCGATATTTTACATATTTTTATGCGTTTTTTGCAGCTATGCAATGCAAAAAACGCATATTGACGAGAGGTTGTCTG